TGCTGTGGAATGTGATTGATGCATTTCTCCCGAGTGCACAGCACCACCGTTCTTATGTATTTTCAAAGGCTGAAGCGATTTTGCAAACTTATATTTTTGCTATCACGCTGTCGTTGTTTGCATCCCGGCTACTTTAAAACTGTTGTTCAATGCAAGAGTTTCCTGAGGTTCATTTATTATTAATTTCGCCGATTTAAGCAAATCCATTTGACCGATGGATGAAAAAGGAAACCTTCTCTTGTGTAAATCTACGTGAAGCAGAAAACGCCCTGTTCGCAGTTCTCCTCGGATTTAGCCAGATTCGTTTGACAAAGAGCGACGTCTGTAGCCCTGAACACCCATTTTTGCACCTGCGTATTGCAACGCTATATTTCAGTTTGCTTCATGTTCGCTGTGATAGAACGTTTGTGAATGTATTTGTTTTTATGTACTAAGTGATTAACGATTGACAATTGACTTGCTCAACTGTTCAGAATTATTCAGGCTTCCTCGGAACACAGTTTGATGCTTTTTTACTGCGTGTTGTTTTTTGCTTGTAATGTAACTTGATTTCGTTATGAATGTTGTTTCAGAAATAATGCACATACGCAACCATACATTTCTTTAAGACAGTGATGGTCAGATGAGCATAGTCTTACTGTGAATTCGGACCTTATTTATATCCAGCATTATTTTTTGTCCAGTTTCATGCTGAAGTCGGCTACCTTTTTATCAGTTTCTCTTTTAGCGTGTTTGTAATTGTCATTTCTCGATATATTGTTCACTTTAATTTATGAAAGCACAAAGAAAAGAAACTGGCATCTTTTTTACTAAGGCTACAGTAAAAATCTATTATTTATATTTTACAGTTAAGGAATTTCATTAGCATTCATTCTATCGCATGCTTTATAGTCGAATCGTTTTTTCGCATTGTGGATGTCACTGTGCTTGATGGGGAGTATGTTATGCAGCCATCACTCAGTTAACTCTTGTTCAGCTGCTCAGCGATTGATGATTTTCACCACAAGAGAGTAAGCCTAGAACTGCTTTTCTTGGTATCGGAAATGTTCACCGACTGGTAAATTTGCCGCATGGAAGATTCACCGATTCTGCAATTGATCGCCGATGATTCATTTATTAAAATTTATTATTACGGTATAAAAATTATCTACTAAAAGTTAAAGCAGAATTATTTGAATAGCATATTTGAAAGATCATGTTAATGAGCACAATAATTGCTATGCTTAACCCGTGTATAAAGTCTCAGAAAAATCAAGAAGGTCGGTTTTAGAAAGTTTGAGTGTTGGCCCTTCAGTTCGTCAGAGTGAAAAGAGATGTGTCAGAAGCACAAGTG